TTGCTTAGCTGCTTTATCCTCAAGGGTGACCAGTTTTCTTTTCAGACTAGCAATGGTCTTTTCATAATCCTTCTCTAATGCCTTCGGATTTTTTCAGCTCATCCCGGCACTCACTAATTTCCTTTTTCAGCCCCTTTGTCAACCGCTCGTCTGACCGGCTCCTTTGTTGGTGATTGGTAGCTATCCTCATTTGCTGGATTTGGGCCCTAAGCGCCTCGTTTTCTTGGGCCAACCTGTTCTTTTCTCCCTGATCAGCAGCAACTTGCACACTGTTCTCAAATTTCAGAGCTCCAATCTGTTGTTTCAGCTTGCCGATTTCAGCCTGATAGCCTTCTTCTTTTTCTAGCCAACCCCATTGTTCTTGTGATGATTCAGTGAAATCCTAGATGTAGGGTCTTTTAGCTGGCCTCTGATGCTTAAGTTCTCTTCTGTACCATGCGAGGTATTCTGGCGACATTTCTCCTTTGGCCCGATCCTGAACACAAGTATCTGCTTGTAGATATTGACATTCATTCCAAATCTCGCGGACTTTTGCTTCGGGAAACTGTCCGTCAGGGCTAATCTCAATTACTTGAGCACTAAGATCTTCCTCCCGTGGCACTGTTTGGCATATCCCGAGTTGTCTCAGAACCCGACATGGAGCATAAGGCTGGATGCTCTTAAGTCCCATCAAAAGAAAATGCGACCTAGCTACTGGCATGTATATGATTTCTTCAACAGGCAACCATCCCAACGTCCACTGTATCTGACTATCCGTGAGAGTACGAAAGTATGGTATCCACGCTGTTACTCCTTCAGGCAGACTAACACCGTCAATCCTTGTGTAAAACTCTCCTATACAGGTTTTGTCAGACGAACCATAACTCAAGAGCCGGGAACGGTGGCATAGATGCTCGGTCATCCACATTTGTAGCAACAAGTTACACCCCTCAAAAAAGTTGCCTCCGACTTTGCAGGCAGTGAGAGCTCGAAAAATGTTAGACACAATCATAGGCGCAAGAGTGCTTTCATCTTGAGTAAGCAAGGTACTGACGACCCCGGCTACTTTTATATCAATATTCTCGTCTTTCCTTGGGAAAACCAAGAGGCCTAAAAAGGTTATCATGAAAGCCACCCGTCTATGCTCATCCCATTTTTTACGGTTATTTTTACTGCATAGCTTGATGTCCATCTTGTTAAACCCTCCCACGTGGTCGTACCTGTCATATATGAAGCGCAGAGTGCAGAAGCCTTATGCCAAATCTAGATTATGGACTGTCCTGGGTATCTTCAATGAATCTAAAAACCGATGCACCGTGATGTCTCTTGGAGCAACCAGATATTTTTCTCTTAATGGAACCTCAGCATTTGCGATGTACCCGGCTATTTCCTCCAGAGTTGGGGTGAGCTCAAAATCTGAGAAGTGGAAGACATTGTGCGTCGGGTCCCAGCAGGTGACCAACGCTATTATAATATTACCCCGAGGCTTGATTTCCAATAAACCTGTAAGACCTTTCAGATATTTCTTGACTTCGTCTTATCCTTCTTTGCCTAAATCGTTCCACCATACCCGCAACTCGAAAGGGTTTTTAGTCATTATTGAGAAAGGTTCGTTTTGCATCGTGCTCATTCTGCACATTTATTAAAGTGATTTAAGCAAAAACAAAACTTTTATTTGACTCAAAACAAAATTAACTATTTCCTTTTCCAAATTTAAAATGAAAGACTCGGTTTTTGAACACGGCCTTTCAGCACTCCCAAGGACGAAGATTTTAAGGCTGTGAGAGTCAACCGGTCAAAAATCAAAATTGACCAAAAATGGCCGTCTTTGCAAAGTCAACCTTCCGGCGTCCCTTTCGGGAATATTCGGCTATTTTGACAAGACGGCAATACCCAACTCATTTATGACTCTTTCCTTGTTTGTCAAAATAAGTGACCCGGTATTGCAGAACACGGCCTTCCAGCTCCTCGGGGACGAAAAATATAAGGCTGTGCGGGTCAACCGGCCAAAAATCTAAAAATGACCAAAGGTGGCCGTTATGCAAAGTCAGCCTTCCGGCGTCCATTTCGGGAACGTTCGGCTGTTTTTGACGAAAACGGCATCACCCGACTTATTCATGCCAAAATTTAAACTTAAATATTTTTGGCTATTTTTTCAAAGGGGAGGTTGGACCCGATGAGGGTTGCCTACGTATCCCACACATGTGAGAATCAAACCGACGTAGTTCAGGCAAAGAAACTAACTATATTTTTGAAAACAAGGCTCTTTCTTTTCATTTTCCATGGAAAGACAAACTATTTTTCCTTTTTTATTTTTGAAAACAAGACAAAATAACGACTCTCCCTTTCTTTTTCATTTTCAACAAACAATAAACAACCTATTTTTTCCAAACTAAAACAAAGACTCTTTTTATTTTCTTTTTCAATAAACAACTTTCCAAAAATAAAAGTCAATTTTTCTATTTTTCCTTTGCTTTTTAGTAAAGCAAACTATTAAAAATAAAACATTTACCTTTTTCCATTTTCTCAAAATTTCGGCAGAGTTTCGACAGTATTTGGTCATTGGTTTTTCTAAAATAATCAATTAACTCCCTAACTGCTATTTCTCTCTTTTCCTCTTTTTCTCAATTTTCCAACATTCCTGAGATTCAAAAGCCGGTCAACATGCCGGTTCGAAACAAATATATGTACAGAACAAGTAGGATGCNAGATAACTCGAGTCGAGGAGGGGGCAGCGTATCGGGGACCTGCGAGATCGTCCGTCTTTGCAACTTATCCGAGCCTCTTTTTTATTTCAGGGTATGACACTAACAGAATAGGGAGTCTCAACGAGTAAGCACATCCCGGGACGTGAGAAGAGAAGGGTTTCGGCACAGCTTATATACAGTTCAGATAATATCAAAGCGGTCAAGCATTTAGCACATTTAGCATGAAACATGTAAGGAGATCAGATAAAGTCAACACAACAATTATTCTAAGCTCGAATTCTTAAACCCTAAACCAGAGATTCTGGGTTCGTTCCCCAGCAGAGTCGCCAGAGCTGTCACACCTCCTTTTTCACTACACCCGCAAGGGCATCAAGGAGTTTTCCCAATTAAAGGACAATCGGAATGGGATTTATTTATTAATATGCAGAGTCGCCACTTGGGAGATTAATGGTGTCCCAAGTCACTGGTTGAATCCCGAACCGAGGAAATTATAACTCTGTTAACAGTCCGCGAACCAGAAATCCGAGTAAGGAATTCTGTTAACCTGGGAGAAGGTATTAGGCGTTCCCGAGTTCCGTGGTTCTAGCACGGTCGTTCAAATATTGTATTTGATTTTATCTGATTTCAAAACATGTTCTTGCTTACGGGCTTTTAATTTTGAACCGCTTTTATTATTATTTTTTTTTTATGAGAATTGCAACGTCGGGAAAACGTGTCTCGAACCACGTCACATCAATGCACCCGTGGTTGTTGACACATTTCGACTCCGTTGAGATTTGGATTTGGGTCACATAAATGCGCACCTGAATTTAAGAAAGTAAATTATTAAAAGCGCGCCTGCAGAGACTATCGCGTTATTATCTTTGGGGAAGGCCGTGAAATTCGCTAAACGGCCCATCTCGAAGTCTAAGTGTTTTTTAGTTAAGCATTGAATGAGGGCCCCGCAATTTGCATTTTTATTCGGCGAGGCTCGTCTCATCGTTTTTATTTAAAGGTCAATCCTAAAGCAACTATGATTTTCTATTTTTAACCTCTAATAACAAAGAAAAGATCCTAATTAATTATCCTATTTGATGAATGAGTAATTATTGGAGGCAACCCGAGAATAGCCTTAATAGATGGGTCTCGAGGCCAACCCACAAAAAAGGAAATTGGACCAGCTTTGGTGACGCTAGTAATGACCGGACCAGTAGGCGAAAGCTTTCAGCCTGTGGGCTTATGACTGGCCCAACTAACATTTGGGCAAGGGTACTTTGAAACCTCAATTCCTAAAGCTAACTCGATGCCCTGTTCCAGTGGGAGTTTCACTTTCCAAATGCACACAATGAAATGCAGGTCTTGCAATTCAGATTTATATGAGTTTGAGCTAATAAGATAATCAATGAGGCACTAGATGGTCAATGTGACATGTATGCATTAAACAATTGATTCTACAGAAAGCTAAACACAAGGATTCATTACTGTCTAAAATGAAGCTAGATTATAAAAGACCTAGTTACTACTTTGACTGATGTTATGCCAGAATAACCTTCTTCAGTTTAATCACACTGATTCTAACATTGACTCATGACTAGGTGCAATGACCTTATTCACATCATGACAAATAAGAGACAGCCAGGCAACATTTGAAATTCAATTACAAAATACCCTGTGATTCCCAACTTGATTTCAAATGACTAACGTCCAATGAAAACGAAATCGAACTAACTAGGATATTAAACTATTTGATACTACAACTATCAATGAATGAACAAAATCGAATAGTTTCAGCCAGCCCACATTATACAAACCATAACAAGTCCTAGTTTAATTACGACATCCAAAACATAACAGAATTATTTGAACTGCAGTTCCACATAAGAACACAAGCCTCAATTTCATTTCATTTGTCAACAGATGAAGCTACAACAACACAATCTCAAAATGTGTACCTGAAATTGGAAGAGAAATGAAATAGAAGAAGTCAGTTGAAGCAATAACTGAGCAGCAACAACAGTAAGCAATTTCCAGCAATACAGAACAACAAACAGCCCAAGGAATAAATCCAGAAGTCCAGGAAGATTCAAAACTCAACGGAAACCAGCAGATTAAACCAAAAATACTTGAAATGCACTCAGTTATACTCGAAAGGCTCTAACTAGACCAAAAACTGCTCGAAAATTAAACCAGTAGCCATCTGAAGCTTTAACCACCAAACACTGAACTAAAAAAATGGTAAATACTAGTTGAAAGCTGAAATTGACCTAAAGTATCTAATGGAACAGTACATTTTGGTTTTTTTTTTTGAAGAATTTTTTATTGTTTTTTGGTTTTTTTTTTTAGCTAAAATCTATAAGAAGGCTTGGATCTGAAATTTGAACTCCAGATCTGAAAACTGGAAGAGTATTGTTTGGGGGGAATTTTGGGTGCCAAAAACTTGTCATTCAAGGCAAGGGCCTTGCCCTTTTATAGGCACCAATGAGGCCATATCAGATTTTTAGCCTTTGCCAATTAGTCCCTCTTTTAAAAATCAGTTTTATCTAACTAGTCCCTCAGTTATTGACCTGTGCCACAAGTTAATACAACACAATTACTGAAATTACACTAAAGTCCTATTTTGGAAGACCCTAGAAACTTCTAGTTTCTACTACCATGTGCTACCCAATCCTAAATGTCTAAACTACCCTTTATCTAAGTTGAAAGTTAACCAAATTGACCCATCCTCTTTACTTCAATTAGCAACTAAGATAAAACACTAAAAGGGATTCCAGAAAAGAAAATCAACTAAGTCTAAACAAAACTCCTAAAGTTGTATTATCCTAACCCATTAATCACCAATGTAGAACTAAAGTGCTGACTCCAACTGAGTTCAATTACTTACACAAATCCTTCGAGATCAAGCCAACCAGAAAATTGACAAAACAAGATCAAACCAAACTAAAATGGAGCAGAAGTAATTAATCATGAAACCATTTTACTGACTGAAATCAAAACTAAACCAAAACCTAAAACATTGCCTAAGGCTTAATCAATGGGAACTAAACTTAAACAGTTGACCAAAATAGACTTAAGCAAATTCGAATCAACATTTAACAACCCTTAAACCAACAGAACAAAACACAATCAAACTAAAATTAAATTTAACTAAAGAGAAATCAAACCAGTATTAAGATTGAAAAAAAAATCACAACTAACCAACAATTTAGGAGAATTATTCATTGACTAAATCATAAGAAGAAGCAGGGAACACATGAAAATATAAAAAAAATGAGGACTTACAGCTTGACTCGAATTCTTTGGTTCAAAATTTGACCATCTTAGGCATGAATTGAACATCAATGACAGCGAATTCTTCATGAAGGGAATGAGGAGACCGTGTAGTACCAATTGGGTAGTTTTCAGAGACATTAGAATTTTCGGTCAACTTTGAACTAATATTCGAGCCATTCGACTGATATTTGAGGGAAACCAGTGGGAGATTCTAGTAGAGGAGAACTAGGAGAGCACGGGGTGTTAATTTGGGGTGATTTGGACGGAGTTGTGTTGTGGCCGGAGTTTGTCGATCCAAGATTTGAAGGCTTTGGCAGGGATTCGAGAAAAACTAATATGGGGTTTGGAAAGAGGAGGAGAAGACGAGTTGAGGGTGTATTTTTGGGAGGGATTGGAGCTTCTTCGCCCCCGGCAACGATTTCCGGCCGGCGGCGGACGGCGGAGAAGGGCGGCGTTACAGAGGGAGTGTACGAGGAAGACGAAAATGTTTTTGTAGGTTTAGTTAACATTTCGGACATTTTTATTATCTAACAAGAATGCACACGAGCCATTTGATCAAAAAGAATGAAGGTCCAGGATTGAGTGACGCCCAAAACGGCGTCGTTTGATTTAGCTGGGGGCGGACCGGGTCAGGGGGTTTGGGCCTGGGTCGGAAATGGGTTCTGGTGGGAATTTTTATTTGGGGTGAGGTTTGGTCAAATTAAAATGAGCTCAATTTTGGTCTCTTATTAAGACCACCCTTTTTTAATTGTTTTTCCTTTTATTACTTTTACTTATTTTTGTTTTCATTTTGTATTTTTGTATTTTTATTTTTTCTGATTTTATAAAAATGCAAGAATAAAGATAAAGTCCTAATATATTTCAAAGTTAAACTAATTAACTCCTACAATTGTTTAAAATCTATTTCGTGACGAATTCACAATTAAACAATTAAAAATGCAAAAGTGAACTATTTTTGTTATTTTCTTCATATTTTGTTCTAAAGCAAATTAACCCCTAATTAATCCTAAAATATGAAATTAGATCCTAAATGCAAATGTATTTTTGTATTTTTCATATGAATTAAAATGCACAAATAAAATGCAAACAATTACAAGAAAATAACACAAAATTCACAAAAATTGTAAAATAATAAAGAAATTATTTTGTTTGAATTTCTGGGAATAATTCATATATAGGGCAAAAATCACGTGCTCACACCTTTATTGTTCCGGAAGACTCTGACGCCACCAAATCAATGGTCGAAGAACTGGAACAGGTTATATTGATCGAGTACATGCCCGAGCGAAAGGTATACCTAGGAACGGGGTTAACCCCCGAACTCAGGAAAAAGCTTATTCAATTTCTTATTGATAACATGGATTATTTTACTTGGTACCATTTTGATATGACAGGGATCCCACTGGAGACAACGACGCATCTACTAAGCCTAGACCCTAGGTGCAAACCAGTGAAGTAGAAGAGAAGACCCCAGTCCGAGGTAAAGCACATATTTATAAAGGACGAGGTAACAAAACTTCTCAAAATAGGGTCCACGCGGGAGGTAAAATACTCCGAATAGTTAGCCAATGTAGTCGTAATCCCTAAAAAAGAGAACAAACTTAGAATGTGTATAGATTACAAAGATTTAAACAAGGCATGCCCCAAAGATTCCTTTCCATTGCCTAACATCGATCGCATGATCGACGCCACAGCTGGCCACGAGATCCTTACCTTTCTCAATGCCTATTTCGGGTACAATCAAATTCAAATGAACCCGGAAGACCAGGAAAAGACTTCATTTATCACCAAATATGGAACATAATGTTATAATTTAATGCCCTTCGGGCTAAAAAATGCAGGAACTGTAGACATGTGATTTTTGATCCTCCCCAAGAATTTTATATTTTAGCGTAAATATTCAATTAAGGTTTAGTATCGCTCTATTTACTTTATTTTATCTAAAAAAGAAACTACAAAAATATTTTCCCTTATTCTAGCTAATTGATATTTTGTCTAGTTAGTTTTATTTTTGAAAAAAAATACAAAAATAGTCTTGGCATTTTATTTTCCAAAAAAGATAAGAAGAAAAGTCAAAAAATATTTTACATTTTAGTATATATTGAGTGGTATTTAAATTTCACTAATATGGTAATTATATGTCTTCTCTAAACATTTTTATTATCTTAAATATACTAGTATCTTTATAAAGTTATTTTCAATTCATTTTTAAAGTCAAAGGAAAAGAAAAATGAAAAAAAAGGATTTTGATTTAGTCTTCCTACCCCAAAGTTAATTAGCCCAAATTCAAGACCCAAATCCCTTCAAGCACAAAATATTGAGCTCATACCCCATTCCCCATTTGACATAACCTAATTCCTACCCCTATAAAATAACCCCTAACTCTTAAAATGAAAAAGACGGAGACTACACTAAAAAGAGAAACGGCACATCCCCTTCTCACAGCATAGACGATCTCCTTCCCCCTTTTGGACGAACTTAGCTGCTTGAAGACCTAGCTAGATCTCATCCCTTGGTCTTCTTCTTCATCTCCATTCACTCTCACTGAGAGCCCCCCAAAACCGACCTCCAAAGCACCCCAATTTTAGCGACAATACCTCGCGCTTTGCACACAAAACAACCCTCAAAACAACCTGAAATAGCAGCTAAAAAATGCTGCTCAACTCTACCACAACTGCCATCAAGAACAGTCCAAAAATGAGCTCAAATCCACCCCTAAACAACCTCAATACAACTCCAAAACAAGATGGAAAACAAGTCAAAACAGCCATTAAAATCAACCCAAAACAGTCACCAAAAATTGGTAAAAAGCTGGTTATTTCAACTGAAATTAAAAGGAGTTTGAAAAGGTCAAGTCCAAAGTCTACTGTGTCGTCGAGGTCCGAATTTTTGCCCGTCAAGATGTTGGAATTGTTGAAGTCTCATTAGCAGGCTCTCGTTTGAATTCAAAAGTTCAAAAGCAAAAAAAAAGGCTTGTTTAAAGTTTTCTGGGATTCTCAAGTTTGTTTGAAGCTGCGAGGGAGTGGTTCATTCACTGATTTTGGTGGTGTTGTTTGCTGGGCTCTATTATCCATTTGTTTTCCAAAGTTTGACCTTTGAATCCTTCATAAATAAGGTATTCTATTTTTCTTCTCTTCTCCAAAGTAAGCAACTATTAATTTGTGAATGCAAAAATATGCTTTGTTCAAGGTCTATGTGTGTGAATGATGCTCCTGAATTGTTTGAATTGAAATAAATGGTTATGTGATAGTTGAGTGCATTTTCATCACCTGATTGTTAAATGTTAACATTTTCTCAATATGCTCATGATTGTGTCTCGTTTCTCCTGGCTCATGACTCATAAATTTAGCCACTAGTTGGTTAAACTTATTTGACAAAAGGGGTCAATCGTTAGGTTTGTCTTTGTACTTGAATTGTGAGTCCCTGCAGCACTATGTCTGTATTTCAAAATTTGAAGAAGTGTTGATATTTGAACAATTGGTCTATATTGATAGTTCATAGAGAAAACAGAATGCAACAATGTCTTTGAATGTTTGTCGTTCACTCCTGTTATATGTAAAACTATGAAAAGTCCATTTCTTAATCTTGGGTTATTTTAGGATTTTGTTCTAATTGTCATCTTACACTTTATTTTTGAGTATATATCTAAATCTCGAATGACTGAATTATTTCATGCAAATATGGCATCTAATATTCCCACTACATTAGGATTCTGGTTGCTTAAGATAAATTGGCTTCTTATTTGGGATAAAATTTTAGCTCAAACTTTAGTTTAATTTAGCTTTGTAGATTGTGATAAACTTTGGCCTTACTATAATTTTAAATCCAATAGAATTATTTGACCTTCGTAGTTACTTTAGGTGCATTCTTTAAATAATTCATCATAGCTACGGGTACGGTTCCCGTGACGTAGTTACGATACACAATTTTCTTAAACTCGGGTGTGCATTTTATGTGACCCAAATCCAAATCTCAACAACGTTAGATAAAATATGTCGAGGACCGCGGGTGCATTTACGTGACGTTGTTCAAGACGTGTTTTAATAACGTTGAAATCTTCCTAAAATAATGATTCAATAAAAGCGTCTCAAAAGTTAAACAATATACCTAGATTTTTAGCTTAGAATAACTCAGCCTCATGCCGGATCCCTAGTAGGAACATTTTTTTGTATCATGTGCATATGACTTAGGGGACTCAACACAAGGGTTGGGTCCGTCTAGTATAGGTGCACCAAATTAAAAGATCATCCTGATACATCTTACGTGCTACTTGCGTATCTGTCTATTTCGGCTT